CAAAATAAGAGAAAATCTTTTTTTGGGAAATAGTTTCAGCTTCAAAGCTCTAAGTTGTGTGAAATTCTTTAATTTTTGTGTTTTAAGATGAGGGATATTGGAATATTTAGTACTTTGTGATTTGGCAGGTTGACAGAGAATATCAGTCACCAGTTACCCATTAGACCCAGTTTGTAACGAGTAAACTAATATTAGGACTGACTTTTGACCTAGTGTCCGCCACAGTTGAGTCTAAGCAGGGCAGGGGAGATGTGGGGTGGGGGGTTGATACCACAATAACACACCAGACCCCCAAAATAAACCCCCTGAGCCTAAATTTGTTCCCCCAGCCCCACCAGAGGCTGGCAGCAAATAACACGTGAATGTGACACGTGTTTGTCGTTCCTTGCGTGCACACAGCCATAGCCGCCAGTCACAAAATCCATACTGATTGTTCCAACAAAGAGTGTTTGAGGTCATCTTGGGTCGGCAGATTGGGCTACAGGGCGTGCGTTAAATCAGTTCTTGAAGTAGAGATGTGATATTTTTTTATTGCTGGATTATTACTGATGATAGGCTCTTGAGTTTTGTTCTGTTTTTTAATAATTCACTTTTCACATCACGTACTGTTGATGTTTACCTCGCTATCCATCAGTACAAGGAGACTGTAGCTGTCACGATGGTGACTCTTTAAAATGATTGCAATTTCTACTCTCATTTGTGCTAACGAGTGCAGAGATCTGTTGCATTGTTTGTGTGTGTGTGTGTGTGTGTGTGTGTGTGGCTTTCCTCCATTTAGTTTACTGGCAAACAGCAACCTCTGCTGGGCTGTCAGCTCAGCTCGGTCACAACTGTGGCTTTACAAAACTCCTGTTTGCACAATGTCCACATTTCATATTCATTCATCATCTTATTAACTTGCGTTGGACAAGTAAACATAAATGTTAAAAAACTAATGATAAGAGTTGGTATAGATAAGACTGTTGTGTATGTTATAGGAGATGCAGGACCTGAGTCCATCAAGAGGAGTGTGTGAACTGCTGAATAGCCAAAGATGGTAGTAATAGTTCTAAAAGTATGTTAAGAATTTATTATAAATGATGTGGTATGAATGCATTTGGAAAATACTGAATTAGAAAATAGTATTTTAAAGTTTGTGCGTGCACTTCACTGTGTCACCACAGATTTCTGCACAAGGTGGCGCAAGAATATCTGTGCTGCTGTCTTACTGTTCGCGTCTTTAACTGTAGAATAGTCTCTCCCTGCTTTCCGATGCAGAGCACGCTAAAAGATCCTCAAAGGAGGAGTTAAACAAAACTTCATTGTACTTAAAAGTTCCTCAAACACTTTCTCACACTTTCAGACACACACGCTCATGACACTCTGCCCTCGCAGCTCATTCTCATTAGCAGAGGTAATGTCATAGGAGCCAGCAGCCAGCTGGGCCGTGGAAGTCATTTGGCCAGTTGGATTTGGTTACACAGCGGCCTCACAAACACCTCATTCTCAGCAAATCTCCACGCTGGCATCTGTTTAGAGGTCCAACACAGGAACATTTCACAAGGACAGATGCCAGCATTGGAGGGGAGAAACAACAGGCGTTTTCATTTAGTTTAACTACAAATATTTAAATATGATACCAGAAATCACAGCATGCGGAATAAAATAAGTTTATTCTGTCTTTCCAGATATTACAAATGGCCTTTAAGACAGCGCTGGAAAAATGCAGGAGTAGGGAGGAATGAATTGTACCTCTGTGCTTTAGTTTTTCACCTTTTTGAAAATATTCTGCATTCTAGTAATGCCACTTTAGCTCTGTGAGGCCTTCCTTTTCAATTTAATCAACTCAACAAAACTATAAACTGGGAATCTGCATTCTGAGATAAACTGGAATGTGGGAAAATGAACAAGAAGCAATTGTGAAAATAAGACTTCCCAGAAAACACCAGGCACTCGCTGACGTTGTGTCCCTGACCGAAAATGGTCTGATGCCAAAAAGTGTAACATGGTTATTAGCCAGACGCCCAGAGGAGCTGCTGCTGTTCCAGTTAGACCGTCCTTTAGAAACCAGGAAATATTTATCATGTTATCGTTGCGGACTAAGCAGATGGATTAGTCTTTATTTTGCCAAACCCAACATCTGAACATCTGAATTTGTTGATTGTGTGTGTGTGTGTGTGTGTGTGCCGATCAGGCATAACATCATGACCATTGACAAGTGAACTGAAAAACACTGATTATCTCTTCAGCGTGGCACCTGTTATTGGGTGGGACATTTTAGGGAGCAGTGAGCAGTGAGTTGATCTGTTAGAAGCAGGAAACATTGGCAGATGTAAGGATGATAAAGGCCAAACTGTCATGGTTAGACGACTGGATCAGAGCATCTCCAAAAACTGCAGCTCTTGTGGGGTGTTCCAAATCTGGTGTGGTCAGTATCTGTCAAAAGTGGTCCAAGGAAGGAACAGCGATGAACCAGCAACAGGATCGTTGGAGGCCAAAGCCCAGTGTTTCATGTGGGGAGCGAAGGCTGGCCTGTGTGGCCCGATCCAACAGACGAGCTACTTTAGTTCAAATTGCAGAAAAATTAAATGCTGGTTCTGATAGAACGGTGTCAACAAGCACGTTCCCTGTATCTCAATCCAATCGAGCGTCTGTGGGATGTGCTGGACAAACAAGTCTGATCCATGGCCTCGCCTTGCAACTTACCGGATTTAAAGGATCTGCTGCTAACTTCTTGGTGCCAGATACCACGCCTATAAGGGTCCGTGCTTTTATGGGTCAGTGCTGTTTTGGCAGCAAAATATTTGGCAGGTGGTCATATTGTTAGGCCTGATTGATGTATGGTTCTTGGGCTTCTTGGAAAACCTTATGCCAGATGGCTGGAAGGGAATTCAGTCTTAATGTGTTTTATGGGTTTGCAGGAGTTTTGCTTGTAGGGATGTTTTATGTCTTTATTGACAGTGACAGTTTAGAGTGCCCTACTCTGTCTGCATTTACAGGAGAAAACCAAACGTGCTCTTGATTGTTGGATTCCAATAAAACTGTTGCCAGTGATTCTGTTTGCAATTATAATTTCCACGATGAGTGACGGCTGACCAGTTCGATTTATTTATTTTTATTATGCTTTATTCACATGAATGGAGTCACTGACTTAGGTGCAGGGAAAGTTTGCATCTGGCTATAACTGTGAGACAAATAAAGAGTGAAACTGTTAATTCCCCTTGCAGGAAAGTCACCAGAAGATGTGCAGGGTTCCCCATGGTCTTTTTTATGAATGAGGGTAATGCAACAGATTAATTTAACACTATTTTTATAAGTGTGTTGACGTCATTATTAGACTGCTCTGGTTTAGAGGGACCAGCGTCTGACCCAGTTCTTTTGGGAGGCTAGAAGGAGGTCAGTTATGATTACAGTCACACAGGATACAGCAAATGGTATAATAAGCTGGTAAAAAAGTGTGGTTCTTATGTGTCCACGGACATGTTCCTGATCACCTTGAATTATTATGTTTTTTATAGATTTGAGCAGCCCATCTGGCAGCAATGTCCCAGACAGAGACAGGTGGTGTTTGGAGGGTTTCTTAGACCCGTTACTTACACTGGAGTAGCACAGAAACTGTGAGCTTACCTGCCATGAATAATGAGCTTTCTTTTTGTTTTAATCTTCACTGATTAAAAAAATTGTTGCTGAAGTTAAAGATGATTGCTATGCTATTAAAGTGTGGCTTTGTGGGAACACCAGCCATTGAGAAATAGCTCCGCACAGAAAGACTTTGTCATAACTAGCCACTTAAAAGTTCAGAGATCAGGGTGAAACATCTGCGTCCCCCCTTTGTGACTACGTCACAACATCTGGCTGCATCGTTAGCCAACCATTTTTTTTAAAACGGGTTGACATTTAAATCCCCCTCTGCTCCACCTCCTCTCCCGTGTGCCTGCCAACACGTCTGACCCAGGCTCCTACCCACTGTCTCAAAAGACAAATATTTGCCTGCAGTGTCGACAGCAGCGGGCCAGCCAGTTGGTGAGATCACCGAGTCCAGCAAGTCCACCGCTCTGTGTCGTGAGACTGACTGGTGCTGGTGTGCTAGAGCTGCTGCAGGCTGAAGTATTTCACAAAAAGGGGGAATATCTAATTACACCTGCTCCTGAATGCATATGAGATACTTTTCATTTTAAATTATTCAAAATAACATATTTACCAAAACTGACGTGAATCCCTAACACACTGCTGTTTGAGTGTTGCTCCTCAGATGCACTAAGCGAGTTTGCTCGCTTTTCTTTTGAAAATACTTTAAAAGTACTCGATACTTTCCCACACGAGTCTGGCCATCATGTCGCCAGAGTGTCAATGGTTCCTGTTGCACGTAGATGTAGTTTTCTAAATTTGTCTCACATGATCACTTGGACTCGAGGAACTGACTAGATCTTCTCCTTAAAGGTCAAAGGTTATTGTGACCTCACAATGGCAATGGCAATTGGAAAATTCATACAGTAAGTAGGGTGAATTTTCTCATATTCAGATGTAACAAATGAAGTGATGACATTTTTGAGATGTGAGGCAGGAATGCTTCGTGACTCATGTGTGTTTGTTGATCCTGCAAATGCGAGACACACCTCTTCTTTTACGCACACATACACTGCTCCTACAATACACATACGTACACGTCTTTGTGCCAGCTTTCATTACATAACACTTTCACTCCCTCCTTAACAATCAAACTAAGCTCGCAATCCTGCCCTAAACCAAAACTGAATTCTTTAAAGGGGTCTTAAAAGGCGAACGCTGCCTCACAATTCTCATTGAAACTCAAACTGGTCCTCGCTGAGATATATGGCAGAAGTATATCCACATGCACACAATGAAGCTACTCCAACTGAAAGCAAATACGCCCCTATCAGTCTCCCTCTCTAACCCACACATACTGTACATGCACATGTACATAGTTCATGTCTTTTTTGAAGCCTCAGTAGTCCATGTGCCTGGAAGGAGGAGACAGAGTGAGACAGAGGGAGGGAGAAAGGAGCGTGTCTCCAGAGGGAGGGAGAGTTCAGCTCTGAACTCCTCAACGTGGATTAGAAAGAAGCCTCCTCACGCTCTGCTCATGTTTAGCTTTTCTGTGTTTCACCGCATGAAACAGCAGCATGACGCTGAGGAAATGACTCTTTAAAACCCACACTGCTTTGATCCCTTTTCCTTTCTTCGCCCTCTCCAAACGCCGGACTGGAGTCATGTTGCCAAAACACACCGAGGAGGGCTTTCCTCCATCTGCCCGCGTGTCAGTGGAAACCCGGTGTGGCGTGAAGGGAGAGGAGAGAGCGCGCGGGAGCCGAGGAGCAGAGGAGCGCCCAGAGGAGGAGGAAAAGGATAATTAGTGGAGAACAAAAGCAGCTGAGAGACAAACTGTAGACATGAGTTTACCAACTAACTGTGTGTATCTGACGCCGTCAGTCCAGGATCGCTACTTCAAAATGCGGAACGGGAATATCTGCGGGTCGCCGTGCGCCGTCAACCGTCCCATCGACATCGTTCAAAAGCGCAGGCGGTAGGCCAGATGTGGTTTCAATCCAGATGTTGTTGTTGCACAACCCTGAGCACACTGGTGTCTGAACTTTTTTGTTTTTCTTAAGAAAGCTTTTCAGTGCTTTCACACAAAGTAAAGTTCTTTTATGTTAACATATTAACTTAAAATAACTAAAGTTATGGGTTTAACTGTAACTTGGCCCCCACAACATAATGAAGAACTAGAGCAACCTAAAATTGCATTAATGCATCATATTATTTTATGTGTATTTATGTCTATTTAGGTTAGAGAAATTAGAATGAAATTCAAAGCGGTGTATCCTCCAGTATGTGGCATTTACATCGTGTTTTCTTTTAGTGTTCATACCATCAAGCTGCACTCTCAGTACGTGTGTTAGTTTCCCTTTAAAGCAACATACAATGAATACTTTGATATTGTTATTTAACAAGCACAGTATCTTTACATCAACACCAAGCCCATGATGTTCACACTGTGCAAAAATGTTCTTCATCTCCTGGATCCAAATCATTTTATTCTAGTACATTAACGGAATAGAGAGTGACATGTGCATATGAGTGGAAAATATGCAATCACACAGTGGCTTTTAGCTCACAATGACAAAGTCATCAGAGTTTGTCTGTGCGGTTTGCAATTCTAATGGTGAGTCAGATGGACTGATGAGATCTTTGGAATTTATGAATCAGTTTCTTGTAAATCTGTGTGTGTGCGACTTATATAGTCGTCATTTATACATGAATTTCAGCTTAACCCACTGCTTGACCACCTCAGCTCGTTTCCTCTGATACTTTAAATACTGACTGTTTAGAGAATGATCATTGTCCATATTTAAGTGGTTTTTTTTAAGATGATTGAAGAAGGAACAGCTGACGCCTGAATATGCAGAATCTGGATGGATGGATGTAGAAGTTGTAGATACAGAAATATGTAACTACATCTCTACATGACATTAAAAAAAAAAACCCTGTGTAGTTGACGCATCCTCATGTGTTACAACACGTATGAGTATACCTGAAAGTGTCCGCTGCTTTAAGAGCACAGAAGGAAATATGACTAATTCTGCAGCTGACCTTCCAGAAAAGTAATGACGACATAAGCCATGTTTGACAGGGAGGGGGATCAAAGTGATTTTATAATGTCAACCCACCAATAAAAACAAAAAACCTTCAAAGGCAGATACCTAATGAATGCTGAGCTGGACGTATTTATAGGCCTGATGGATGAACCGCATAAAGGAGAGCTCAACGTGGAGTGTAATCTGCCAAATCTGTTTAACAGGGAAACCTACTACTTCCACCATGATTGAGGTAGTACTTTTACAGAGAGTCTTCAAAGAGTGCAAATATTTAGCTTTTGCCCTTAGGGTTATGATTAAGGGGGAGTTCGCTGAGAGTGGAAAAGCGTCAGTGACGATGTATCACTCACCTTCCTTCTAATTATGTCCTGATTTATTTATTTTTTTCCCCACTGACACTGACGCTGCACGACGACTCATAGCACCGCGTTACGCCTTGTCTTTTCTTGTTCTGACCTGTACTGTACACATACTATTAGTACTGTACATAGTACTTGACTGTAAGTATTGTGGGAAATACTTGGACCCGGAACAACATTTTAGTTATTGATTAATATTTAATAAAATATTTGTCTGATTAATTGTTTAGTTTACAAATTTTGTTTCTATAGACTAATGACTATGATGCGATAATTTTTCAGTTAAAAAATAGTCCACATACAACCGACTTTTTTTTATTATTATTTGTCGCCTCTTTTCAGTTTCTCCAGTGTAAAGATTTGCTGTTTTTGGCAGCCTGAATATCTTTTTGTTCTGGGCTTGAATAATTTCTCAGTGTCTGCTTCTGTTCTTCAACCATAGCATGTTCGCAAGGTTGTCTTTAAGAACTGAGCAGGCATAGTACAATTTTTTTAAGTGTATATTGTGGCAGTGCAAATTTTATTTATATAGCACATTTCATTACATGCAAACTAAATGAGGACCAGTAAAAACACATTTACAGTTCCTAAAAGGAAACAAAATATAATGAACAAAAGAAAAAGCTCCTATTTACTGTAGGACTGCGTAAATAAAAATAGATTTATTTAATGCTTTTGATGCACAATTTAATTGATCAGCTGGGAGCTTGTTCCAAAGAACAGGAACACAGTGACTAAAAGCCCCTTCAGCTCACTTAGATCTGATTCTGGGAACAGTTCAAAGATCTGCAGCTGATGAACTGAGGGGGTTGACCGGACTGTGAACAGTAAGCAAACAGGAGGTGTACTGAGAGGCCAAACCACTGAGAGCCTTAGGAACTGTAAGTATTTTAGTGGTAATTCTGCATTGTGACTTCAATACTAGAGTTCAATACCAAGCCCCCGTTTGTCACTGACAATTTAAATTCCAATAAAGTTTTTTTGTTTGTTTGTTTTTTAATGAAGGAGACTGTAAGGCCTGTGGTGGCAAAAAGTAAAATAGGCATCATGACTTCTTTCTTACTTTTTTGGTTGCGGCCTTGTCAAAGTAAGCATTTTGACCAATTTGGTCATTTTCAGTCATTTATTTAAATTAAATT